ATTTAAGCAGAACACTTCTATATAGTTTGCTAATGAAAGAAGAGTTTATAAAGTGTAATAGTTGGTAGGATTAGTGGTGATTTCAGAAAATCTACATAATATTTGATTAACAGGATACTCCATGACAAAGCCTGATGTGATCTTCAAGTTGGAGCAAGAATTAGCACCATGGACAGTGGAGAAATCTGTCAAGCAGAGACTTCCAGGTAGGTCAGCACATAATGGGCAGGGAAGTTAATGCATAGCTCAGTACGTGTTGACTAAAATTATATTTGATTTTTAGTTGAACTTTCCTCCAGAAAAATATCTGGTGAGACACAGACATTCTATAGTTTCCATGTATAAGTTTATTCTAGAAATTTGCCAGCTTGTCACCATAAATCTTTTTTTTTTAAAGATTTATTTTATTATTTTTATTGGAAAGGCAGATTTACAGAGAGGAGAGACAGAGAGGAAGAACTTCTGTCCGATGATTCTGTCCCCAAGTGAGCGCAATGGCCGATGCATTGCCGGTCCGAAGCCAGGAGCCTTTTCTGGGTCTCCCATGCGGGTGCAGGGTCCCAAAGCTTTGGGCCGTCCTCGAATGCTTTCCTGGGCCACAAGCAGGGAGCTGGAAGGGAAGCGGGGCTGCTGGGATTAGAACCGGCTCCCATATGGGATGCTGGGCGTGCAAGGTGAGGAGCTTAACGACTTGCGCCACCACGCTGGGCCCGTTGTCACCATAAATCTGTAATTATATGTGGGTTTTTTCATGATCTTAAACACTTAAATCACATCTGCCACCTTCCAAGATACATTTTCAGGAAATTGTATTTGAAGAAGGGAAGCAAGGAAAAGACAAACTAGTGCTGAGATGGAATGTAAGATACCCCAAGCCTTATTTTTAATTTTTAGACCATGTTTCCTGTTACAGGCAATTTAACGTAAGCAGCAATCCCATGTAATTGAAATTTTTATTTTAAAAAGACGGGTATTGTGTTAAGGCATTAATAGGATATGATGTAATGCCTAGTAACAATGCTCATGAATGTCCACATTTTACTAATACGGAAATGTGCTGGACCTACAAAGGCAACAGATCCCATTGGCTTCACTTGAGTATTTGAGAGGAAACATTTAGATGTGATTCATAGATATAGTTATTCTTTTGCTCATTTCAGATCCCCATGGAAAGAATGAGCTGCTTGGAGCTAATCAGAAAGGTCAAGAAATAATCTTCAGGTAAGTTGTAATCATAAAAATTATATAGTAACTAAAAAGAGAGATGCAAAGATGCTTAGAATTAGCTCTGGCCATAATTGAAACAATATGAAAGGGAAATTGTGCAAAAATGAGACTTCAGACAGAAGTTTTATTTGCAGAGTGACCAGGTGAATGTAGAAAGCAGAGGGAATCAAATAGCATTTCTTGGGAGAGAGCCAGGAGATGGTGTGCCTCTTGAATGGAGACAGCAAAGTTTTTCAGAAGGGTCTCAAATTTTTAAGTGTCCCCTGAGCATTCCTTGTGTGGAGATGAACCTGTGGGTAAGACACTTCCCATTGGTTGTTTCTCAACCAGGAAGGAAATAGCTTCTAATACACAGCTCCAAATGTACACCTGATTCTATGGCTGTTCAGCACTCAGAGGCAGGAATCACATGAGGGAAAAAGTTGAAGAAATTTCTGCTTTCTCAACTGATCTATGAAGTGTAGAGGGGGTTATCCAATAGTCCAGATAAATCATTTCAAAAGATCAAACCTAGGGCATAGCATGGTAGTCTAGTGGATGGCGTTTGCCTTTCATGCACTAGGAGGATATATGGACACTGGTTTGTGCTCTGGTAGCCCCACTTAACATCCAGGTCTCTGCTTTTTGCCTGGAAAATCTGTTGAGGAAAACACAACTTTCTGACACTACACATGCGTGGGAAACACAGAAGATACTCCTGGCTCCTGGCTTTGAATCAGCTCAGCTCTTATAGTTGTGGGTTTTTGGAAAGTGAATCAGCACATGAAAAATATTTCTATGCGTCTTTCATCCCCTCTGTGTACATCTGAAATTCCAGTAAATATAAACACATTTTAAAATTCAAAAAATTCAATCCAAAGTGAATATTTGGCGCTGCCAGTACTCTCATTACTCCTCAAATGAGAATAAACCAACCTGAAGCATGGAAAAATAGACCAGAACTTTAGTCCCATGCTAGGTGGTTGGTATTAAGGATCTAATTAAGGAATTTCAAGTCATGCAGAAAATTGGCCCCTTCTGGGGACTGTCATTACTCCAACATGAGTTTTCCTGTTTGCTTGTAAAATGACAAATTGACATGATAGGAAAAATGAAAATAGGTAGTTGGTGACTAGAGCCTCTTAAGTCTTAGATGGTTGTACTTACTATCTCTACCCACCAACCCTTAAAGGATAATGCATCTGGAGGCTTATTTGGAGCTAGGCAGTGGCTGGGTGTTAGGTGGGTGTGTGGGCATGTTCATATTTCTGCAGAGGGATGCAGTGCCAAGGGTCATTTCCACAGGTTCAGCACAAACATTGTTGAGTCTTCTCTTTGCTAAGTCCAGCTACATAGCTCTGGTATAAGAGCCAAGTCTTTTCCAAGTCCCATATTGTGCACCAAACTAAGTGTTAGCAGGAAAGCTCAGTGAATCTTTCCTATAACATAGTATAGAAACAGAAAATGGAAAACAGTTGTAGAAAAAACTTTTACTTGTTAAGTGACCAATTGAATGTAGAAGAGGGGTGGGGGGAAAGCAACTCCCAGGAGGGGCTGAGAGATCTGGTGCCTTGAAAGGAGAGAGGAAATGACACCATAGTTTATTTTAAATCCCCTTTTCCCACAGGAAGCCTGATGAAATGCCATTTGAGAAAAAGCATGTCTCTAATGTCCCTGAGAATAATGGGAAAAATCTCAATCAGCTTGACAAGATTCACATTTGTCAGCAGTCCTTTGAACACAATGAAACAAGGAAAGCTTTCAGTGGGAAGAAGAGAGGCCTGACATGTGAGCAAGTTTATACCAATGACCCATGTAATCAGCAACCTGTCAGTGTGGGAGAAGCAATTCATATTGGCTACTATAAATTTTGCTTTAGCACCAAACAGAGAACTGACACAGGAGGAAATTTGTATGCGTCCAATGAATGTAAAGAAAACATGTACCAGAAGTCAGAAGTCATTAGAGATCAGATCCTTCAAAGTGCAGAGAAATCATATGAATGCGATGAGCTTGAAAAAGCCTTTCACCAGCAATTATCTCCCATTAGGCATCAGAGAATTGACAAGAGAAGAAACCTTTATGAATGCAGTGAGTGTGGAAAAGCCTTTCAATATAAGTCATACCTAATCATACATCAGAGAATTCACCCTTGGGAAAAACCTTATGAATGCAGTGAGTGTGGAAAAGCCTTTTCTCATAAATCATACCTCATTGCACATCAGAAGATCCATACAGAGGAGAAACCTTTTAAATGCAGTGAGTGTGGAAAAGGCTTTACTTCCCAGTCTGATTTCATTTGACATCGGAGGATCCATACAGGGGAGAAACCTTCTGAATGCAGTGAGTGTGGAAAAGTCTTTTCTCTTAAGTCATACCTCACTGCACATCAGAGGATCCATACAGGGGAGAAACCTTTTAAATGTAGTCAGTGTGGAAAAGCTTTTACTCAGAAGTCACATCTAATCATACATCAGAGAATTCACACTGGGGAAAAACCCTTTGAATGTAATGAGTGTGGAAAAGCCTTTTCTCTTAAGTCATGCTTAATCATACATCAGAGAATTCACACTGGGGAAAAACCTTATGAATGCAGTGAGTGTAGAAAAGTCTTTTCTCTTAAGTCATACCTTATTGCACATCAGAGAATACACACAGGGGAGAAACCTTTTGAATTCAGTGAGTGTGGAAAAGCTTTTACTCAGAAGTCATACCTCATTGCACATCAGAGGATCCATACGGGGAGAAACCTTTTGAATGCAGTGAGTGTGGAAAAGGCTTTACTTACCAGTCTGGTTTCATTCAACATCAGAGAATACACACAGGGGAGAAATCTTTTTAATACAGTGAGTGTTGAAAAGCCTTTTCTCATAAGTCATACCTCATTGCAAATCAGAGGATCCATACAAGGGAGAAACTTTTTGAATGAGTCAGTGTGGAAAAACTTTTACTCAGAAGTCACATCTAATCATACATCGGAGAATGCACACAGGGAAAAAACGTATGAATGTAATGAGTGTATCATAAATCCTTTACTTATCATCCAGGTTTCATTCAACATCAGAGAATGCACACAGGGGAAAAACCTTATGAATGTAGTGAGTGTTGAAAAAGCTTTTTCTCGTAATACACACCTCATTGCACATCAGAGAATACACACTGGGGAAAACCTTATGAATATAGTGAGTGTGAAAAGGCATTTCCCAATCAGTCAGGTTTTGTTCAACACCACATAATCAACATCAGGGGAAAGCCTTATCAATTCACATGGGGAAAGCATTATGAATGTATTACATACATGTTAAAATTCAGACACAAACACATTTTGAGTGTAGTGGAAAGCATCAATGCTGCAATAATTAGCATATTCACAGAAGTTAGTAAAATATCACTGCATTAACTGAAAAAATCATTTTTCTGAAGTCAATTGTTGGCAGATTTACAGACCACAGAAGTACAAAAGCATCTAAACAGACTAGCTAGCATAAACCTGTTATGGTCTGTCAGAGCTTACAAAGTGAATAAAACAGCCATTAGCACGAGTACAACAGAAAAACATTGTAAAAGGGCAGTGAATATGGAATATCTTTTCAAAGTCTCACCAAGTGTTAAATAATAAACATGAGGAGTTTCATTTCAGAAGAGAAGTTATTTGTTGCTATAATACTAAGATGCAATTTGTACATGATATCCCTTTGTTGTGAGGTGGAGTATGTGAATGAATCTGCTTTCAGATTTAATGTTAATAATAAATGTTCAGTCAGTGTAACACTTGTTTGAAAAACTCACTTTGTGTGCTCACTTCAGCTGCACATATACTAAAATTGGAACAATACCGAGACGATTAGCATGGCCTCTGTGCAAGGATGACATGCAAATTGGTGAAGTGTTACATATTGAAAAAAGAAAAACCATCTTTGTCATTTACATATTTATTTAATACAGCTATTTTAGAATCTCAAAATTCCGCATCCTATTATAGAATTATATTGAAATCACAGATATCAACTGATGCATGTGGCAATTGTCATGATAAAGATCCAAGTTTGAAGGGTGAATGTTGTCCAGAGGGAAGATTCTCTTGTGATATCTGCCCAAATGTGGATCCTGTTTGGCCTCGGTCTCTCCTTGAAGAATCACTGTGTGTGATCACCTCTGCATTTCTGCCTGCTTATCCCATGCAGGATGCCATAGGCACATGGCACACTGTGTCTCTGTGGCAAACCCCTAGCAGTGGTCTCAGCTAACAGAGACTCCATCGTGGCCTATTCACTGGACATTGATCCAGAGTAGTAGACTGTATCTGAATCTCTCTGTCCATGAGGAACTGTGCTAGATATTTTCTGATAAGTAACTCTAATAAGGTAAATGCAGCCCTCGTCTTGTTTACCAGTCACATGTAATGATCATGCCCAAAGGCATAGCTTTTAGCCCAGTGCTAGCACATTTTGACCTACCTGCACATAGCCTAAAGCACTAAGTTCCCAACGCTGCTTCCAAAATGTAACTGGTGACTTGATTAGAGTGTCTAGAGAGATAGGCACGCCTACTGGCCAGTTACAGTAACAGTGTAGAGTGGGAGTACTTTCAAGACAACTATTCTGCCTTCCCCTGCTACTGTATTTATGCTTATATGATCTTCCAAATAAATGGACATCCCTCACCAGTTTGTTTGTGGTGGTTCTGCAGCTAAACAACACCATCGTCATTGCCCTCAGGAGTCTCGGGGACTGCTGATCAAAAAACACCCAAGACTGTGGGAGGCATATCTCAGAGACAAAAGAATTTTCTGAAGTTTCTTTGGAGATTTCCCCAATCGAAATGGCCTACTCAGAACCCTAAACAAGAAAAGAGAGAAGACAGATCAGGTCAATCAACCATCTCAGCTATATGTTGGCAGTGAAATACAGGGCAAACAGAGACTCTATGATGGGCTATGTCAATCAGTGGATACTTCAAAGACGTCATGGTGCTTGGAGTGGCAAGATTGGCAGTGATTTATAACTGGTGAACTATCAAAACCACTAGAGCAAGAACCTCAGAGCATACCCTACATGTGGGAACTGGGGAGGGTGGGAAGTTGGGTGGGTCTTCTCCCTTAATACCCCCCTTTAAACATGAAGGAAACAATATGGAAATAATAATAATCTTATCCACTTTCCTGTAGCCCTTGAACCTTTTTACCCTGATTGACTATGTAAAGATTGTAAAAAAAAAAAAAAAAAAAAAAGTCTAACATCAGACTCTTGGAGTTCCTCTTTTAGGTGGAGTTTATGTGTGTCAGCTGCCACCACTACTGCTCAGATTCACATTGATTTTATGCATCATGGCTTCCCACAGTAAGTTCCTTGCCATTGTGTGAGCTACTAAATAGCAGCCTGTGCCTGAAGTCTTTCAAGTGTAAGAGTGAGCACCAGGGCCAGCATTGTTACATAATAAGTAAGCTGTCTGATATCCTAGCCAATCCACCATGGTTTTGCTCTTGGCTTCTTGTTTCACAGCAGCTCAGCTATTGCAATTCATCCATTGGGGATATGAACCAGTGGAGGGAACATAACTCTGGCCTCTGTCATTCTCACTGTAATTCTTTCAAATAAAAAAAAAAATTAAGAGTGAATACCATGATGAGTGTTGAGGTAAATGGAATGTTTATGTTAAGCTTATTGACAAGTATCTCATGTGCGACAACCTGGACCACTTCTATTACTTAATGTTTCGAGTCAAGGACCTATCAAGACCAACAATGATGAGCACTGAGGGCAAGAGTGGCAGCTTTTTTTTTTTCAATATATACATGTAATCAATGCCTTACTTCAACTGTAGAATAAAGTTTGTACATTCCTACCTGCTTCCCACCAGAATTCTCTTGCTAGTACCCATCTGTTAACACTCTGCTGTTGTTGCTGATCAGCCCCAGGCTCAGGTCCTCCCTAGCAACACTGCTCAGAGAGCCTCCTGCTACAAATTTATTAAATATTTTGCAGCTCCCCTTTTAAAACATTCCCAGTCTCTGACAGTATCCTAACATGCTCTGATTGCTTTGTAGGAATGTGGAATAGGGTGGAAGGATGGGATTCACCGGGATTGGGACAAAACAGGAATGGAAATTTTTTTTTTCCAGTTATACACCCTGCTTCAGCAAGCAAGGGTTGGAACAACAGTCAAGAGTTACTAGCTGGATGTTGCTAATTTCAAGAGGCACAGCACCACTAAGTTTTCTCTCAGGAAGTGCTTTCCCCTTCCCTGTTCTTCCCCTGTTCACATAGCCACTTTGCAAATAAAACTTCTCTGTTTCCACTGCCAACATCATGAGGAGGTTGGGATTGGGAGAGTGAGACCTTGATGTCTGGGTGCAGAGTACTTGCAACAACCTATTGGCTGCTGGGGGAACCCAGGCCTGGTCATATTCCATGTATGGGGCCCTGGCTCTGGCCACTGTAACCACCCAGTGAGCTGACCCTTGGCATGCCTGGGCTCAAGAGGATTCTCCCTTCCTGATGAATAAACTGGGAGTGGCTATCTTGGGGAGAAGGTGGTCCTAGGCTCCATCCACCTTGGAAATCATGTGATGGGTGGGACGGGGGTGCGACCTAATCATTTTTTCTTGTTTTGGTCATCTATCTCTCTATGTATAATGTGTGTGTGTGTGTGTGTGTGTGTGTGTTAGATTATTAAAAAGAAATTGGTATGATTATTTCCAAGTTCTATTTTTTGCTTCCTGTTTTTGGTCGGGGTAAATGATATGCATAGAAGCTATACCTAGCCATCCAACCATCCAAGTACCTAAGGATGAGTACTGGACCACCGATACCAAAACAGGGTTTTGTCCAGGTGGTTCTGATAGTTGTGAAATGATGTCCATCTGACCAATTCAAGGATGAGGGAACTCTTTCAATGTTCATTGGCTGACATGGTTGATCTTAGTGTCTCCATTCACCTAGATATTTGCTCTTATCATTTGGCTGGGGTAGTTATCCACTTTGGTCTCTCCTCATTTCTCTTGGATGGTCCAGATGTGCTCTTTGGGACTCAGTTTTCTTCCATCTCCAGGTGGATCCAGGCAAGTTGTCCAATGCGTAAGGAAGACATAAAGTATAACCTATCAGGGTCATAACAGGTAACTTATAGACAACAGATTCAAAGGAGCATTAGATAATAGTAAAACTATAAAGACATATAGGAGTAATCAAGAGTGATCCTAATATCCTTTTAATAGGAGGTCATATGCACAGAGCATTGGGGGACCCCAGAGTGGAGCAGGGGACAGGAGGAGGCTCGTATCCCAACCCTGGAGCCTCCCAGATCCTCACCAAGTGCTATCTGTACGGGCACCAAGTACTACATCCCAACTGCCAAAGGAACCACAGGGAACTGTAGTGCCTTCAGAGGCCGAGAACTCTGAGGTCATCCACCCCATTTTGGATGTACCACATGGGATGGAAGAAGCCCAAATCCTTCTTCACAGGATCCAAGGTCATCAGAACCACAGCCAAGAACCCTGAGTGGTCCGCAGAAACAGAAACGTAAACTTCCTTCGGGAGTAGGGAGAGGAGCTTTCTCTGGTTCTTGCCTGGTTCCAACTTTGGATTCTCATGCTCTCTTGCAATGATCATCACGGTTACTCCAGAGCACTCCACCCCCAAACACACACACAAATTAGAATAGATAGGCAGAGAACAACAAGGAAAGCTTAGAACCAGACAGGAAATGGTGAACATGGACTCACACATACCTTACTAGGTAGAACACAAAGATTAATTACTCCTCACTAAGGTATTGATATTTCTCTGCACACCCCTCCTAAAACTGTTCTGCACCTCAATTGTTGACATATGCCTGCTTAGAGTTATAACCCAGTTAAGACTATCCCAAAATCTGCCAAGTTCAGCAAAATTATGCTTCAATTCTATAAACTGATAAATACAAAAATGAAAATAGACATGAGACAGCTGAATGTTACCCTATACCCATTTTAAGGTATATAGTAGCCAGTTCTGTGTGTACACTAAAATTAAAATGTCAATGAATTAGTCACAGGATGTGGTTAAGAACTTGCATTTAAAAAAAAAACATATTGATTACTCAATACCATGTCAATGAATTCCATAATGTTGTAAATTGTTGTTGATGCTATGTTGTGGCTTTAAATTAATTGGGATGATATTCTGCCAGCTCTGCCTTCAGACAGGAGATGGACTACCCAAGAAACTGTTTAATTTACTTGGACAATAAGATGCTGTACTCTATGTTCAATATACTCTTACAATGAAAGTATCTTGACTGAATTTGACAACAAGGTGGAGGAATCACCATGGGGGGAGGTATGGGAAGGGTTTGGGGGATTCGCAGAGCCTATGAAACTGTATCACACAATGCAATGTAATTAATATGTATTAATTACATTTAATTAAATTAATTAAACTTAAATATATATATATATATATTAAAAAGCATCTGGAATGGGAACATGTCAGACAAATTTCTTTGGGGATCCTCCCAGTTGAACTGCCAGATTCAAAACACTAACCATGAAGAGACAGGACAGAATAAGCCAATCAACCACCTCAGCTATGTGTTGGCAGTGAAATACTGGGCAAATGGAGACGCTATGATGCACTATGTGAATCAGTGGATTATTCAACGACCTTATCATGCTTGGAGTAGTGGATCTCAGGACAGGGCATCTCACGCCAGGATCCCAGATGCCTGCCACCATGTGCACGTGGTGACCTGTTCCCAGGCTGCCAGTGTGCCATTTAGTGCCAGACTCTGACTGCTGGCCTCCAGGCCAGGGAGCTCTGGGGTTTGGTTCTTTGAATCGCTGCTTAGGTAGCTCCAGGATGAACCCGATGTGTTTCTATGACGTGAAGTGATCGTAAAGATTCCCAATAACAGTAACTC